CATTAAGCGTTGTCAGAGCTATACATTTGTCAAGCATCCATAAATATGTCGGCTGCTAATTGGTTCGGTAAGATATTGATGAGATGATTGCCAGACAGACAGACAGGCAGGCAGGTCATATGTTCGGTTTGCTTTTGAATACTTTATTTTGAAATGTGAATACAGTGGAGGTTAGACAGATAGTTATTTTTTTTCAACTGGAGCTGTAATCCTATTTGTTAGTTTAGGGTGAATGTCCACCTCATTCGTGACTGTCTGCAGTGTTGTATTACTGTATCATTACTGTTTTTATCGTTATTATTATTATTATTTTCGTTACTATTATTATTATTGTTGTTGTTATTCTTCTCATTATTATTACCGCTACTGTCGTTATTATTATTGTTACTCTTTCCCTTACCATAATGACATAATCAATACGCAGGCTTGGTACATGATGGGCACCAAGAGATGTGCTGCACAAAATGTTATAGTTTTATTGTGACGGGTAGGATACTACTCAGAGGTCCACACCGAGGCAGGCGGTTGACTTAAAGGGCCATCTCCGCTTGTCCGAGCCCTTGACTTGAAGTCTCATTCTCAACAAGATAATGGGACAGCCGGAGGAGCTGCATTCCCAGTGTTTCCGTTGGCCAAGTTCACTCGGTCAGTTCGGCTTCTGGAGGTCATGTACACCATAGGTTTGGTGGAATCAGGATTTCCCAGCTCTGCGGAGCATTTTAGGTTGATTTTCGCGAATACGTTTGGAAGTTTAAAGGTTGTAATTCTTCGTTTCAATTTTGTTGAACACTCCCACTTGTCTGGCTAGTGTAGGAATGCATGACCACAGAAGATGATTTCTTCTTGACAGTAATACTGAAGTCTTCTCATGCTCACTCAGTCTTAGTACGAGATGGTTTATTTGGACAGTGCTGTATTAGTCGAAATATTAGGGTGCATACTTGTTAACTCGAAATGAATCAATTTGATTGCGCTCTAGCCTTGGTTTGACTGCGAATTTACTTGAGAATTAGGCTTGTAGAGGTTCCCTGGCATCTGAGTGTTTCCTCTGTTTAAAATTTCCTCAATCATATGACAAGAAATTTTGAATTCCAAGTCAATAAAAATGAACAGCCGATCACGAGACACAATTATATCATTCATGGGGAATTTAAATGAGTTCAGTGTATACTAAAACCTGCGCTGTAGACCTTGTCTAGAAGGCGGACAACGAAAGCTCCGCAATTAAATCAACCACGCAGCTCAGAGAAGACAACTAATGCAGTATCATCCACCTGAGCTACAAATCGTTTGCATTATATGTGAATTAGTTAGCCTTGCATCTAACCGACGTTAAGGGAGGCATAATATTCATGTGAAATATTTCGATGTTTCCTATGTCGGCGGATTCGTAAAGTCGACTGAGTGGCTGTATTGGGGTATTTTAATAGTAGTAGTAGTAGTAGTAGAGAGAAGATGATTCCACTGGGCGTGTTGGGTCAGCTTTGGAGTTTTTGATCCTGCAGGTTTCTTAATCTCCTTATATAGACCTGTTTAAATATGTCCATTGACATACTTAATTGATATTTATCTCATAACTGCTGTCGGCTTAGTCTTGTTTGATTTGACAGTTACTATGTTCTAATCGTTGATCAAATGTTTTCAGGTGATATTTACTAGCTGTGATAATCAATAGTTTTTGTTTGTTTTCTGATGTTTAATTGTAGATGCACTATTGTACGGTGACTTGTTGTGTTTTGTTGAAAATTGTCCAATCTGTTTACGAGTTTGACGACGGATTGATATCAATTAGATAAGCCAACGAAAGCCAGGGAGTAGTGGACAGCTGTTTCATCCTACTTTCGGAATGATCGCTAGTACGCACCCGGTATCAGGGTTCGAACCCAGGACCTTCCGGTTACAAGGCAAGTTGGCTTGCATACCATCGAGTCACTGGGACCCACCCAATTCAATGTCTAGTGCATGAATTCTAACTTCTACCAGTTCGTCATTTAGCGTGACCACCAACCAATGTCATCGGTGGGACATCCATGCTCACACTTGATTGGATGAACCTGACTGGTGACGACATCTATCTATTGCACTTATTGCTTATTGTACACTGGGAATGACTTCTTCAGGTTGTAATCCATCAGTTAGTTAGTTAGTCAGTCAGTCAGTCGGTAATCAACCTCTCTCTCTCTCTCTTCATCCATCTATATTTAATTTTTAGAAATGTGACTCTGTCCCACCCCAATGTGTAGTTATACGTCAATGTATGCAGTGCAATTGCTGATTTTCTTCTAGATTATTTGTCTTCACAGGGTCAGTCGTTTTACATTTGGCTAGATTCTTATGTTCTGATTATCTGACTACCCCCCACCCATTCTAGTGGTTTGACCTTTGTAGTTGACCTAACTGACAGTCATTGCAAGGTATTTCGTATATTGTGTCATTCTGTTTTGTCTAATTGGATCAACCTACGGGGTCGTTTAACCTTTACTCACATACACCATCAATCATATTCAGAAAACACCAGCTTCATTTGAATATTGTGAATAACTCACTGTTTCGACATCTACTCGCAATGTGCTACACATCATGACAACACACGCATATATGTAGCACTACCAATGAAACTGTGCTCGGAAGGTCATCAGTAAATAATATAGTATAATGACGAAAGAATAAGAAGCCGTAGCTTATCTGAAAGGTGTAATGTAATGTATTTGCGCAACACATTTCGGACATTCTGATCACACACACACACACACACACGAGAACTTGTCACACACATTTATGTAGAAGGTAAGAGTAGGCGTGAATTAATGGAATACAGGTGAAATTTTGTACAGGTGAAGGTCACAGATCCAAAGGTGCTGTGTGTGTGTGTGTGTGGGCGAGGAGAGGTATGAAGATGACATAAGGATGTAGGGTAAACAGAATTGAGGCAGAGGGTGAAAGAAACTAATAAAAATTGAGTCTTGGTTCTAAATTGCTTTGGGAAGACAGGTTCACAGTAATGACAAATAACTTTCCTATAGTTGGTTTGTAAGCATTAGTTTTGTTTTTAGCGAGTTGATCACGTATTGATATCAGGTATAGAGGCAGGCGTTTCATCCTAGTTTGGGAATGATCGGTAGTACGCACTCATTGAAGTGATTCTCTTACTGGTATCAATCCGTGATCAACTGGTAAAAAACAAAACTAACCCTTGAACAGGTAAGAAATATAAACATCCTATTGGGAGGTGGTTAGCCCGATAGAGGCTTTTATTTGATACTTTTGTAACGCCTAATGAATTTCAACTGAAATGTGTCCGATAGTTGATATGATGCTGCCCAGACAGATGGTGGGTGGTGGGTGGTGGGAGTGAGACGATTTCCTTTACATTACTGTCATATATGATGATGAATGTTTTTGTTGTTGGTGTTTAGATATCTTCATCATCTCTGTCCTTTCTATGTTCACCTGAAGTTGTATCGTTGCTGTCTGTTCCCAGACTTGTTGGTTTCGGCTTCTGTACCTTCGAGAGTGTGTGTTATGTGTGAGACAAGACTCATTTGTGAATTTCAGATATTCTAGGATCCTTGAATCAGTCTAAAATACATCCGTCTTGTTAATGATGAAGGTCTCCAGCGCGATCCCGAGTGGTAGTCTTTAAACCTACAATCTATACCGCCTCTAAGAAAAATGTTTCCATCAAATTGCCATTTAAGGGTGAAATAAACAGTAGGTCGGTCATCCATGGGACGTATAGTGCAGCAGGACGGTTAGTTATTATCGAAAAAGCCTAACCCTAACAAAACGAAGAATATGTAGAGCCGTAATATGACTAGGTAGGGATTAAGACTATGAAAGTTGGAGGGGTTGAAGGAACTTTCTCTGTATGCAGAGATAATAAATTCAGTCATAGAAAAGAGAAGGCGTTCAGCAAAGAGTTGCTCTTTTCGGCGATATCATTCTCAAGCTGTACAAACCGCAAATTTATAGTAATTTTTCTTGGCAACAAAAGGAATATTTCCAAAGATGCAATTGTTAATTTTTTTGACAACAAATTGCGTAATTTAGAAGGCGTTAATCGGTTAGAAACTAAAATAAAGTTACAAAAGTAGGTTGGGTGACGTAATCTAATTGCTAGGGTTCAATGAAAAATGAATGAGAGTCAAGTTGATAGTCTGAGTAGAATTCACTTGAAAATGGATGAGAGTTAAGTTGATAAGCTGAGTAGAATTCACTTAAAAATAAACGAAAATGGAGTTAGCAACAGTCGTCGTGAGGGTAGAGATTTAATAGAGGGTGGGGGTAGAAAATAATGCAATTAAGAAACAGACAAACAAAGAAGAAAGAGGTAAGACAAAATTACGTATTTGGTGTTGAGATAGATCAGGACCATTGTAGATTTAGTGACTGAACAAAGTTCTTTTGTGTGCAGAGTTCAGGATTCAATATGTGAATTGCCATTGCTTCTGCAGTTTGAAGAAGTTTAATTCGTACTCTTTTGGCAAGATTCCCACGTATTGTGTAGATAACTGAGAAGTTGCTTTGTAGGTTTGCTTGGTGTCCGGATTCGATCAAGTGTTCTAGGATAGAGCTGTGGCGGGGGGATCTTCTTTCTCCTTTATAAAACCATGAAGGTAAGTGTTCACTGATTCGTTTGGATAGCAAACGCTGGGTACGGCCGATATACCTAGCTCCACATGAGCAGGTGAATTGGTAGATGCACATTGATGAGGCCCCCAGTGGAAGCTTGTCCTTCACGTTCGTGCGAATCATTGGTTTCGTAGAGAAATAAATTCGTCGAAAAAGAGTCTCTTCGCTGCATCACTTGTTCTGATTTTCTATATGTTACAATGGGAATTTTCCATGAATTAAAAAAGACGCAGAAATGTTGGTGTATCATTTGAACATTGTTTTTATTTATTATTATTATTATCGTTACTTTGTTCTTATCTTAAGTTTTTGTAAGACTAGTAGTTTCCATTTAAAATTCCCTTATCTATGTGTATTTTTTGTTTTAGTGTTTTGGTCTATAAACCGCCTGGGTCTCCTGATGGCATAACATTAACAAGTGAAGATATTTCGTGCCTTTCACCTGGAGGTCTTTTAAACGACTCAATAATCAACTTTTATTTGAAATATTTGTACTTTGAGAAACTGACAAAGTATCAGAGGCATGTTACTCACCTGTTCAATGTGTTTTTCTATACTCGATTGACATGCGATTATCCATCGTCTACGACAAACAGAGAAGAGTAGGTTTTGTTTTTCAATACACACGGGAAGGGGATTATTATTGCTTTTGGTTTGGTCTCAACTTGAATTCATTTTATTAGTTATATGTAAATGTGTATATGTATATATCTATAGGCTGATGGTAATATAGTGGAGAAGATTCTTCGTAGCTCAGGAGGGTGATTTTGATCGTGTTCTCTGAGAAGCTGGTTGACTTAATTGTGTTGTTAAGCTTTCGTTGTCCTCCTGTCCTAGACAGACAACACCTTCCTTCACCACAGGTGTTTAGTAATGAAATGAACTTACTTGATATAAATATATATATAGTTGTATCTCCTGGCAACCGTTGTCTGACTTCGTCATTAATTCATATCTTTGATCATTTTTATCGGCTTGGGAGTTGAACTTTCTTGTCGTGTGGTTTATTTTTTTGATTTATTAGTTGGTAAATTTGGTCTAAAGTAAGTAGTGTGTTTATTAATCGCTCGGTGATTATTCATTTGAGTACGAGGTTTCTAGAAGTTCTCTGACTGTAATGTTGTTGTTATCCAAGTGAAACTGGTGTCCGTCCATAGTTATCTGTCTAATGTAGAAATGTAGATGACAAGGAGTTATATCCTGTCCACTGATTTTTGTGTATTACAGATCCCCGTTTTGCCAGTCGAGTGATAGTGAGTATTAAAGTACTTGACTTTGTATCTGTTTATCTCTCGACGAATCGTTTCCGTAGAGAAGTATCGTATAAACCAACCAACCACCCAAACGTTATTCGCTCGTTCACGGCCACGGTTGTATTTTCTCTTTAATAAGACAGTTTCATCTACAGGTACAGTGATACCTTCGCCTTCGCCCTCGCCCTCACCCCCCTCTCCAAGATGCTGCATCTCTGCAGTGCTGTACTATTGCTGTACTGTTGAAACGATATTACTTTCTGTTTCAGCTTTCCCAGTAATTACACAAAAATACAAAATCTGGGTTAATGACAGATGGTGTCATGGCAAAAAATGTCCCTACGAAATAGTATAATCCATCAGCTTACCTTCCCTCACATTAATTCGTCTCAAGCAAATTCCACAACGTGATGTACATGTCCATCAACCGATCTGCTGAAGCTTTTTGTACGTATGACACTTACACATGAACAAATCCTTTCAGATATGATGGAGAAGATTTGTAGCTCAGGTGGATGATTTTGATGCGGTTGTGTTCTCTGAGCTGGATAGTTAATTTGCGAAGCTGTCATCGTCCTACCAGGCAGGCGACATCTTCAGCACATACTTCAATTTGAAATCCTTTCATCATTCATTTTGCAATGATCATAGAGTGCAACAGACAGTAGGGAGAGAGAGAGAGAGGGAGTGATAATCTCTAGGATCCCATGTTGTTTTGTTTTCTTATAGTTCTAATATTTATTGTAGTGGGTATATCCTGCAAGTAGGACAGGATAGGAGGAGGATAGTTGAGAAGTATTTTGATGAGTTAATAAGAGTTTGACATCTCATTCTCAAATGTTGAATATCACATCACATCGGGACAAAAGTATGTAATATGAAAGGTGTGCTTCTTCTCATCGAGGAAGCAATTACCACTAATAATCTCCATTGGTTTTCTTCAATAAGAATGACGACTAGAGAGAGACTTGCTCCATCACAGATTAGAAGACGGTGTGTCTTTGAATTTTTCTCTATTCGGAAATATTTAGTTCGATTGTTCATGATAAATGTTTTATGATGTATCGTAGGCTGTTAAAAACATGCTTAAGGTTGGGGTAGAGTTGTTCAGGTACGGTGATCGGATTACCAGTAGTAGAATTATTCCCTACAGATTTGAAGGTAACCAATCCGTATTGATATTTATATCAGTGTATGTTTGTTATTGTTCTGAATCCAAATTCATAATTATGATGAAATATATAATGTGTATAGTCGTTTCTTGTTAATCAGGCTTTCAACGCATATTCATCAACTACTCTCCTGGATGTGATTACCATAAAGGTTTAGCCCTGAGAGGCTAATTCTGATGCCTTTGCACGCGTCTCAAACAGAGACAGGGAGAGACAATTTCAAGATGAATTATTTGCAGTGTGTAAGGTCAGTTGTTCGAGAAGCTTTCGCATTGTATAAATGAGTGTAACAGTGCGAAGTGACAACTGTTAATGCAATGTGATGTCAATGTGTGTAAGAACTGCGGTTGCATATACATAAATAGATATACATACGTATCAGTGAACTGTGAGTACTCTGACATGTTGATTTCACCTTTATTCACAAAGAATATTCTTTCACCTTTGATAAACTCTTTTAACTGGATTGCTGTTAACGAAGTAAGTCTTTGCTTTAGTTGCCTTTTCATCATCGTCATTATCATCATCATCATCATCACCACCACATAGAAGGGTAACTGTAGTAGTTATGCAGTGTTAGTGATTTGTTGTTGTCTAACTTGACTAAAATGCGCCTGCATTTTCGACAGTATAGTCAACTGATCACTTGGATATATTCCCATACACTGAGTAGGCATACACACAGAAGTCAGATTTATCTGAGTAAACAACAGTAACCTTTATTATTTCCAACAAAAGCTTAAATTATCCTTAACACATCAATATAAAATGTAGTGGATAGGTAGATAAATACTCGAAATTGGGATTGATGATTACATCAATCATGATTTTACGGCTAAGAAACTTACTTGGTCCGTCCTAACACCTCGCCTTTTGAATAGACTTTATGATATCTCCCGCCTAAAACAGTGTGGAATGTTTTCCAGAGTAAGAAGGTCACCACATTGTTCCTTGGTGAGAATTAAACATTTGTAGCAGACATTGAATACTGATGCTTATTGTTCAGAAATCTTACTGAGAATTCGGATGGTTTCAATAAAATCAGTATCACGAAAAAAGTATTACCCATCAACGGAAATTTGAACCACCGATAAATAATCAATATCTGTATAGTGAAAATATTCATATACAAATATGCATATATAAATGTAATAGTAAATAGAATATCACATAAAATTAAGGAAATTCCTACAATAAATTAAGGATGATTATAACCTTGATTGACGGCCAGCACTGGTATGTGTGTGAAAGTGTGTGAATCAGTTTCTTCTGGATACATACGATAGTCTTCTCAATGTGGATTCCAAGACCTCCAGCAGCATATAATAGACAGACGAACTCTCAATGTAAAGTTAATAAGATCAGTTGGTATACGGTAGATGACATCAATCTTGTGTTCTATATCCATGAGGTGATGAGGTAGAATAGAGTTTATGAATGTATTTCGTTTGTCTCTTACTTTACCACACTATGCAGGATGTGGTGATCGGAAATCCTACAATAAACAGGCCTAATTGCACGGCCTATGTAACTGGCTGTAGGACATTATCTCAAAGAATATTCTTTGCTCAATCAATATCTGATTGATGTTTGCATCAATGATGGATGACTTTACGACTAACAAGCATAGTAAGTGCTGCCTAACAGTAAGACTTGTATAAATAATAGTCAAACGCAGGATTTAAATTTGAGGGGAGGAGAGGAGAGGAGTAATGATCCTGGATTTCAATGAAGATGTGTGTGTTTGTGAGAAGCACTTATCACTCACTGATTGTGACTGATGTGAATTGATGAATAATGTGAGTATGAAAACTGCTTTACTTTTCTTCCCATCATTGTAACAGGTATATGGGATTTTTATTTTTCTATTGGATTATTCATTTTATGACGGAGTAATGATAATACTGAGTTAGTCATATGAAACTTGACTAGAATTCACCTTCAGGAGAGAGAGAGAGAACACGTAAATATAACCGTCAACTGATTGATACCACACTGAGATGGGCAGAACAGTGAGACTGGGGAAAACGACGACGACGACGACGACGACGGGAACAAGAGCAACAACAACAACCATAACAACAAGGGGAACAACCTTTATTAGTCAAAATATACTGTATATGACATTCACAAACCGTCAGAAATTGAAGTCATAAACATAAACATTATGTCACTGGTACATGCATAAATAATGACTTTGCAGCTAACTGAAAAGCTTGTCCGTCCTGATACCTCCTCCTCCCTCTTTTATTCTATCTCGATATCGAAACCACTGGAAAATACTTTGTCGGTTAGTCTGTGTTCATCTGTCCATCTATGATGATGCATCAAGTATTGTGTAGTGTGAAATGGTCATAAGCAAGGTGTACTTGAAATAACAGAGTAGAAATACCGAGAATATTGATAAATTAGTTAATAATGAATAACATTTCTGTTGTCATAGATTTCGGGAATTTCGTCGGTAAGTCAGGACAACATGTTTTACAGTAGTATTTACTTTGTTAATGGGGAAGGGAATTTGATAAATTTCTTATTAATATAGGCGCAATAAATTTCTTCTGGAGAAGATGGTGATATAGAGAGCGGTGGGAATGTTTGATATGCTTTGAATTCCTTGTTTGGTTGATTTTCGTTCTTGTCATAGTCGTCTAAACTTCAGTGTGTCTGTGTATCAATCATTGTATTGTAGGGGTTTCTGAGTCCTTTCTGAATAACCATTTATGCAGAAGACGGGAAATAATTTTTGTTTTCCGCAATCTCCGGTGTAGACGTGATATTCGGCTGGCTGTCGATCAAAGCACGTGGGTATAGCACAGCGTCACCAACAGCACTTCCCTACGTCCTCCATTATGAATGGCCATCAGACATTGCCATTGAGAGTGGAAGCCATGAGAAGGAAAGCCAGCTAGCTAGCTATCTTTGATCATATGTGTCTGTGTTCTATCTACATCCTGTGTTAGGTGGGAGGTGTAATAAGGTGACTAACATTGAGGTGAAGCATCGGTCGAGTGCTCCGTGAGGAGGGAATACCAATCAACAAGGTTGTGAAGGTAATTCGATTGAGGTGGTCAGGACATGTTGTTACGCATGGCTGTTAAGTCACCTCCCTCCTCGACTGACGGGAAATGTTAGCCACTGACATAGGATGGATCTGGTTAGAAAGGAGCCAGAGCTAGG